ATATATACATCATACACAACATTATATAATATTTAAATATTATTGGAGTATTGTTCTACAATATATTGGTTCGGAAACAATTAATATATATTTGAATCATTTTAATTGTTTGAATACATGTTCAAATCACTAAAGAAAAATGAGTTGTAAACCAAGGAGATCTTGGGATTTCTTCCTTTAGTATGCGAATACGGAAATGAGGTATGGAATCAGTGTAGCCTACATGATTAACACCTAAATTCATACGTAAACCAACCAATGAGAAAGCGTATAATTGTATATGAACCGAACTATATTTTTATCTTCGCGCTGCTCTAAAGCAGTGTTTTTCAACCTGTGGGTCGCGACCCCCAAAGGGTCGCAAAGCCTTACACGGGGGGTCGCGAGTAAAAGAAAAAGACAAGTGTTTGTAGGTCTTACACTACAATAAATAAAACTACAATTTCAGTGAGAAGGCTTTGCGTTTTTATTTTAAAGTACAATTGGTTTTTCGATAGATATTTAGGTCTCAATTGAAAGAAAATTAAATACGTAGTTTTTAAAATTACTAATATAGTTTTAATATGGCCCTGGGGGGTTCGCCAGAATTTTTTTAACTTGTAAAGGGGTCGCGTGTTCAAGGAGGTTGAAAAACACTGCTCTAAAGAATGTAACCGTCATGAATACGGAGCTTCTACTGTAATAATAGAAGCTCCGTGATATCCGTAATGTCAGAATTTTAATCGTCTTTCCTTTTGCAAAATAAATTGTATGAACACAATTTATTTAGCAAAGAGAAATGTCATTAAACTTCCTCAGAGAATACTATAACTATATTAACAAACCTTGTCATATGCATACATTCAGTGTATTTATATCTTTGTTGTATTTCTATCAGAAAGAAATAACTTTATTATTGAATCATTGCACGATTTCTTTGTTCCTTGCATAATTTCTCGAATTTGCAAGAGCATGTTGTATACGGAATAGAGGGTCTGGTACACCTAAAAGTTAAAAGAACATTTATTCTTATTATTATTAAAATTTTATGAACTAATAAATTCATTATTGAAACTTTTAAATAAGACATGCTTTATTGCTATTTCGGCATTTAATAATCAAAATAGCAACGAGTATTAAGATTCATTAGAATTGACGAAAAGTAAGATAGCAGAGACCATTTCGGTTCACCAACTTTGACAATTATGTTTAGTGTCTAGGTTAGGGGTCGGCTACCTTTTGAGTCGGAAGAGCCAAAATTACAATTTACAAAATTTCAAAGTTTTTAAAGAGCCACAAAATTTTTTCTTGCCAACAATAAATAGTACTCGCGTAAATAAAGTTTTTTGATAAAAAAAACTAATCTATTTATTCATAAGAAAAAATATCTATTTATTCATATATAAGTAGTGTTTTTCACAACAAATTAGATAATAGAAACATCCG